AGCCCTGGGATTTTTTGTAGTGGCATGAATGATACTTTTGTGAGCAATAACAGCCACATCGAGTATTTGGCGATCCCTGACAAAAGCCCCTTGAGATGGGGAAATGACCCAGTGTAATACCAGTTTAAGGCGAGAGGCCAAGACTTTGGACAATTTTATAAGAGCTATTGATTAGGCTTATAGGCCTGAAATCTTTTAATTCCTCTGCTCCCTCTATCTTTAGGACGAAGGCTGTGAAGGTGGAATTCATATCTCGGTGGATGATTCCCCTTGAGTGAAATTCCTCGAAGAAAGCCATGATATCTGGCTTCAAAGTTTCCTAGAATGCTTTAGAAAGGGCCATAGGGAGCCCATCAGGTTCCAAAGCCCCGTCAGAGCTGAGGCATTTGATGGTCCCTAGTGTATCCTCCTCAGAGAAAGGTCGTTCAAGAGATGCTGCTATTTTAGGAGGAAGGGAAGGAGAGGAGAGGTCGTCCATATAGTAGGACCCTGGGGGAGTGGAAAAGTGTTGAGGAAAAAAAGTTAATAGCCGCCTGTTTGTAATGGTGAGGATGGTCGAGAATTTGACGACCAACCTTGAGATGTGTAATGGAGTTTTTTTTTTTCTTCGGCAGTTAGCAACCTTGTTGAAGTAAGCAGTGTTGAGATCCCCAAGCTTGAGCCACTTGACCTTGGATCTTTGGGTGCAGAAGATTTCCTTCTTCTTGAGGAGAAGACTAAAGTCAAGTTTGGCTTTGGACTTGAGCTCCAGTTCAGAGGGAGAGAGGGTTTGATCTTCTTCTGTGGAATCTCAGAATTGAATGGAATGAAGCAACGATTGTTTTGGGTTTGAAAGTTGTCGGGGAGTTGGGCACTCTACGACCTCAAGGAGTGCTCAAGGAACTGAAGTTTCTTTTGTAGTCCAAAGCCAGCCCATCCAAGAACTTGTGTGGCAAAGGACTCCCATTTGGAGCGAACCATAGCTGAGAAATCTACCTCCTCGAACCAAGCAATTTCAAATTGAAAAGGTTTTGGTCCCCCTTTGGAAGGCCTGAGTTTTAAGTAAAATAGGGCGGTGTTTTGAAGTAGGCTTGGGGAGCACTTAGGAATGAGTTCAGGGAAGAGATTGTCCCATTCAAGGGAGGTGAGAACCTGTCCAGCTTGGATAAAGTGGGATTTGGGGAGTGATTACACCAAGTAAATTCTGCCCCCTCGAGGGATATTGAGACGGATTTGGGGAGTGATTAGACCAATTAAATGCTGCCCCCTCAAGAGGGATATCGAGATGGTGGTTATGGGATATATAGTCTGAGAAGTGGATCATGGCAGGGGTAATCCTATCATCAAAGTTTCTTGCATGAGACCATCTAGTTACATTAAAATCACCTCCCAAGCACCAAGTGGAACTGTTTTTTTTTTTTTTTGAGGAAACCAAGTGGAAGGGGTTAAGGACATGACGTGTCAAAGTTCTCCCCAGAAGGCATCTCCGACCTAGTCCAAATTGGGTTTGTACGCCACTGGGGTTTTCCATAGAAGGCCATTAGAAATTCTGGTAAGCGTAAAAGTAACTGAAAATTGCCCATGTGGTGATTGACTAGGACATGGACGGTTGGGTCCCAAAGGACCCAAATGCCACCTGAAGCTCCTTGAGCTTCAAGGGCCACCCATGGGCAAGGTCTAAAGCTCCAAGACCATCGAAGGGAGGGAGAGCGAAGTTTAGTTTCCACCAACTCAAGGAGGGAAGGGGAAAACTTGGTGATGAGGTTGCAAACTGTACTTCGCTTGTTCGGGTTGCCCAAGCCCTGAACACTCCATATCAAAATCCTCATGAGGAATGCGATGGGGTAGAGGGTTGCCCTTTGTCATACAAGAGTCCGAAGTGAAGATTGGTGAGCTCACGTTGTCCCTTGTAGGTGGTTGTACGAGCCTTACCTTTAGTTTTGGCTTTGGCTTTCTCTATGGCCTTGAGTTGGGCATCAACCTTGAGTCCCATCACTTGAAGCACCTCCTCAATATTACCTTGAGCAAAATCCATAGCTTCGACAAAGTTGGAGTCCACCAAGGCTACGATTGAAATTGTGAGGATTTCTCTATGGAGGGGGGAATGGTTACATCCTGATGAGAGGGGAGTGGTGATAGTTTAAAAGGGGAGGGGGATGGCTAGCACAATGGGGTATGCAGAATGATGCCCAACACGGAGGGCTAGATGGGGTTGGAGGAAGGTAAGTAGGGGGGTTCTGTGCTTTTAGCGGGAGAGGGCATGACCCTTTTAGGTGGGATAAGAAAGTGGAAGGGGGAGTCTGATGATAGCTCTGCAATGCCAAATGATGACTTGAGGTGAAGGATGGAAAAGGCGGGGCCACTGATGATTGTCTGGAGCAGGGGAGGCCGGAGAACAGAGGCCAATGTGGGGATTGGGTTGGGGTGGACGAAAGTGGGGAGGTGAGGGGAGGAAATTTGGGAGGTGATGCAATTAAAGAGGGGGGAGAGAGCGAGGGGGAGAGGTGAGAAGATGAAGTTGGGGTAGCATTGGTAGGGGAAATGGATGAGGATAGGTGGAGAGGTTAAGAGGAAGGAGGATGAGGCTTTGAGGGGGGAGAGGTGAGAGGGGTTACGGGAATCGAAGGTTGGAGGCTGAGAGATGAGGTGGATGAGAAGAGGGGAGAGGCAGAGGGAGCCAATTGCGAAAAGCAGGGAAGTGGGGGGCCTGAGGAAGGGTAGGTCGAAGAAAGGGGGAAAAGATAGGAGTCGTGCTGATGAATTGAAAGGGGGAAAAGATGGGAGTCGTGCTGATGAATTGTATAGGCCTGCCATCTTCGCTGATAGGCAGCCCTCGAGATGACGTGTGTAGGAGGTGCCTGGGTATGAGGGGGTGCAAGGTCACCTGGGGATAGGGGCATGCATGCCAGCTGGATGCAGCTGTAGAGGGGAAGGGTTGAATGGCAACTGTTGGGAGTAGATGCATAGTTTGTATGGTAACTTACTTAGAAATACAATAATATATTGTATCAATAACAAAGTACAAAGTTACTAATATAATACAATCTAGTACAATTAACCCAACACAAATGTATTAAAATATTGATATATTGACAATATATGTCTCTCTCTCTCTCTCTCCTCCTCTCCTCTCCTCTCCTCTCCTCTCTTCTCTTTTTTCTCTCTCATCCCCAAACCCCCACACTCTAGCACTGCCCATGTGTTTGGCGCCTGACTAGGTGGCCACCTAGACGGCTGAATCCGTTTTTTTGAACACTATTTCTTGGATTATGTTGAGCAAACATCTAAGATTAATGTGACATCTTGTGGCCCCCGCTCTGACAATGCTGACATAGCTGCATTTGTTTCTTATTCTACTACGTTCATGCTAAATACCTCTTCAGACTTTTCTATTACTATTACTTCCATATAAGTAGGATCCCATTAGTGCCTACCACAAACATCAGGTCTTATAGTATCATTGCAAAGGCCATATGAAAAGAAGCGATCCATAGATATGGGGAGCTTTTAGTCAATAGGCCAGTCAGTCGGCTGTCCTGTTTAGAACCTCGATCCAGCAGTTTTGGAGTGGATTTCTTTGGGGGAACCCTATCCAATATCAGTTAGGATCATGTTCCTTTAAGTGGTCATTGGAACTTACAATCCCATTGGCCATGGGAGCCCGATCCTGTGTACCTATTCAGATCTCTCTAATTGTGGGTCCACAATCCTGGTGGGCTCATACCACACATAGTTGGTAGGATCTCCCAACCTATAGCGCTCAGGGAAAGGGATTTTTAAGGGATCTCTGAGTTTAAAATTTTTGGATTGTAATCCCCATTGATAGGAATCTCGATCCCCACTATTAGGGATCTCAATCCCCACCTTAAATATGAAGATAGCGACCAATTAATTGGTGATTTTCTTTATTGCAGCCAGCTGCAATGCAACTGTACTTTTAGTATAGTTAAATTACTTGCTGGCTATAAAGAAGGAGATCCTAAGAGTATGTATAGTCCTAGAGGATATATACTCTTTAAGGTTGGGAGCTCAAAAGGTCGGGATACAGACCTCAAAAGGTTGGGATCTCAATCCCTAACATTTGGAGATCTCGATCCCTGAAAAATGCAGATGTACGGACGACACTCCCAACCATAGCAATCTTCAAGCCTTTTACGATGCCCTGCTCCCGATCCTACTTCCGGAAATTTTGGATGAGACAATTCTTACTCATCTAATGCTCCCGTTCCCGCCCCCTCCCAACAATTATAAAATGACCATATCTTTCTCTTCTAATGTCTTATGCACACAATTTGTTAGATGTGTTTGGGGGCTACCTTCAATGGAGCTGTTTTCAAGACCTATTCGCAGGAAGAGGTACTTATTAGGTTCATGGACTCATTGGTTACCCAAGAAGGATGCTCCTAGCATTGGTTAGGTTTATCCTTATTTGTACTTCTCTCCTAACGGCCCTTATATAATCCTCAAAAACCATTCTAACATTTACTTTCCATTGCTCAAACTACTTATGTTTGATACAGCTGTTGGCCTTAGGGGTGTAATGCTCTTTGCAGGTTGTTTCAAATGGTAACTTTCAGCTTAAAAGCATTTGATTTTGTCCATTACTTTTGAGTTACAACCGCTTGTTTAGTGTCTGTAATGTGATACCAAAATGGCAATTTTATATCATTTAAGAAAGCTTTCTCATCCTCTTGCATTTATATAGCTACAGGGGTGATCGATTATTGAGTTTCGGTTATTGATCTAGCAGCGTGTAATCTGTTGTGAAAATTTATGATATGCTGAACAATGATATCGACAATAGTTCTTGGTGAACATAGCCAGAAATATATATGTTTAAGTGGAGCTCTTTGTGTTTGAGCACAGTGTGTTTTAGTGCTCTGAGTTTCCTGTTGTTTGTATCAGTTCATTCTACACATATTGTAACATTTCAACCTTTTATGTGCATCTTTACTGTTTTATGTACCTACGCAGTGATGTATCCTTCTGCATTCTCTTCATCTTTATTTGTTCATGTGCAGAGATTGATTTTTAACAAACCTGAAGAGGGAGTACGGAAGATAGTGCTTGCTACTAACATGGCTGAGACAAGTATCACCATTAATGATGTGGTATTTGTTGTGGACTGTGGGAAGGCCAAAGAGACATCTTACGACGCATTGAACAATACACCTTGCTTGCTCCCTTCATGGATTTCAAAGGCGTCTGCTCGTCAAGTAAGCTATTTGTAGCTTTTATGTCTTGTATTTTGTAGAAAAATTTTGATGAACACCATTGTTTCTAATTTTGTGGTATAGGGCTAATTGAAATATGAATACTCAATTGATGTAATTACTGATGATACAATATGATTAGGCATGAAACCTAGTTTTTGGTTCTAATGTTGTCTTACTGGTATTTTTTCACTACAAAATTTCAGAATCTTTTATTCCCAAAAGAATATTTCTTTGTTAGCATGGATCTAAAGAAACCATATTTGTAAAAGGAAGAGGATTTTACCTGAACGAGAGGAATTTGTGTTTCTTGTATCCATCTTGCACTGAAAGCATCTTACTCATTAGTATTTATAGAGGTTGCACCTCTTTATTCTTGTCTAACTTGTACTATTAAACCTTCCTAAATTCTTTCTAAATCTTCCTTTCCCAGATATAAGGATGTAGGTTCCTTAAACTAGTTGTTGCAACGAATTAGGATGAGGACATTTTCGAAATGCTTCTAACAGAAAGGAAAAAAAAAGGAAATTAATTTACTAAAATAAAATAAATGTCTGAAACCTTCCAAATCTGGTTAAACTGCAACCTAATTAAATAAAAAAGCCATTGTCAAATTCTTCAGCTGCCTTTCGGCCAAGATCGAGACCCGCGAAACATCCGAATTAAGGAAAAAAAAACAAACCCTAGGGATAGTAGTCATAGATCTCTGAGAGATCTTCCATTTGAGATTTGAAGCATCTCAACCTGGGTGAGTAAATTATGTCTTGAAAAGAAGTTTGCTTCAAACACTTATCTAGTTTTTGTAATCCTATAACCTTCACCTTTTACTGAATTTTTGCATGTTATGTAAGGTGCAGCAGGCAATGCGTAGAGTTGATATTGGTCTTGAATGTCAATCTGGTTCAGGTGGTCTTGTCTGTTTATATTTTTTGCAAATATGATTTCTATGCCTTTGAGATATTGTTCATATCGGCTATATAACAATTACGCTATGAGTATTAGTGTTACACCTTGTCATTGCTGTTAATGGATATCACTCACTTTTTAGGATTCTGGGAATCATCATCTTCTTTAAATGAATATGCTAGTTATTTCTTGGATGGCTGTACCATGCACTAATTGAATGTGCCACAAAAAATAAATATCAGAGTGGCTTCTGATTTGTCCTTTTTCCCCATGTTTTTAGGTTGTTAAAGTGGGGTTTTGTAGGACAGTTGTCTGGCATCTGTTACTGCTTGTGTGTATCTATCTTCTACCTGTTTCTTGTTTATAATTCTATTGCATGAATCTCATTGCTAAGAGTGTCTTGTTGTGTGGTGTTTGAGCCTTCATGTGCAGTGGGGTGGATGTGTGTATAGCTAAGAGTGTGTTGTCGTTTGGTGTTTGGGCCTTCATGTGCAGTGGGGTGGATGTGTGTGTGTGTGTAAGCGTGCGTGTCTGTGCAGGATCGAGCACGCGGGTTCATGTGTGTGTGTGTGCATGCATGTGTGTGTGTGTGCGTGCATGCGTGTTTGTTGGGAGCACTTGTGCGTGTGTCGGTGTGTGCGTCTGTGTCTGCGTTATCTCGTGGCTCAAATAGGTTTCACCATTCGCCTAACATCCTCTTCAATGAACCTATTTTAATGCCCATAAACAGGGGCATTGGACTTCTGTATTTATGAATGCCCAATACTTATTTACTTTTTCACCAATTAAAAGCACTTTTCCTTTATATGGTATCATTTTCCAATTTCCCGTTTTGGTTATTTTGTATTGTAACTTCTCAAATACATCCATATTCTGAATTTTTTCAAGAAATTGATTATTGTGATTAGTTGAACTCTTTTCTTGCAGAGAAGAGGCAGAGCTGGTCGTGTTCAACCTGGAGAGTGTTATCATCTCTATCCCAGATGTGTATATGATGCTTTTGCGGAGTACCAATTGCCAGAGCTTTTGAGAACACCTCTCCAATCTCTTTGCTTACAAATCAAAAGTCTTCAGCTCGGAAGCATTTCTGAGTTTTTGTCAAGGGCATTACAGTCACCAGAACTACTATCGGTATCACCTGGAAAAGTGGTTTGATTTTGTTGTTCATTAAAATTTCTGTGTACTGTAGAAGCTAGTGAACTCAAGATGGCTTTTGGTTATTCTTAATAGCCTTTTGTGATATCTTCAATGATCCATTACTTTATTTGATTTGACATGCATTTATCTTGCTCTCTCTTCTGTACTCATGTTCTTTGCTATTATCTTGTTTGATGGCCTAGGTTCAAAATGCCATAGAATATTTAAAAGTTATTGGGGCCTTGGATGAGAAGGAGAATTTAACTATCCTTGGTACAAAAACTTTTTCTCTCATTTTTTCCATCTTTGGATTTTTTTTCCATTAATACTGTGATATTTTCATAATAGTTTTGGATAATTTGTGAAGGGTGTAAATTATTTTGTGTGGTTTAATTGGCAGGACGTCACTTATCAATGCTTCCAGTCGAGCCTAAACTTGGGAAGATGCTTATCCTTGGGGCAATATTCAATTGCCTTGATCCTATACTCACTGTTGTTGCTGGCCTTAGTGTCAGGGATCCATTTCTTATGCCATTTGATAAGAAGGATGTAAGTGAATTTTGTACTGCTGTGTTACATCTCTTATATTATTTTCTTATATTATTTTGCTAAAGCTGAAACTTTTGTTGACTTTTACTCTCTGGCTTATTTTCTATGCTAGGTTCACTTCTGGCCTTTATCCAAACGATTGTTCAGAATTCGTATATATTTAGAACTTGATTGCATCTCGGGATTAGGGATTTGTTGCTGTATAGCACCATCCATGCTCATTTCCTTGTTTCTTTCCACAGGCACATTGTAGTGTCATATTCATCTCATTTGTAGTTTGTGTATGCCTGTTGAAGATGAGGAAGGGAGCCTACCAGCCTATGGCTAGTATAGGCTGGACGGATAAGATTGAAGGAGAGAGCAAATGACGTCAGATTTGCGTGTTACTAAAATTATGATTGAGTCATTTTGTACTTGTACTCTGAGCACCTCACGTGTGGAATGCCTCGTTAACCTCAGACCTTGTGGGTTCTTTTTGTAATAACCTTTTGATTACATAAAAATTACACATGTTATGTCCCCCCCCCCAAAAAAATAGAAATAGGATTTAGAGAAAAGTAGTTTTTTGAGAAAAGTAGGGCCTAATGGACCCCAAATTTTGTGACATTTAGATCTCATCTATGCGCTCAAAAGAAAGAATCTGCTGAAAAATTTGTGGTAAAATGAGTTCCCCAGTCTGCCATTCATTTGATCTGTTCTCCTTCGATCTTCGCCGTCTGGCATATACTATGCTATAGGCTGGTCGGCTAGTAGCATCCTTTCCCATATGACGATTGTATGATCCAAATGTGCTACAGTATAAGCATGTTGGCTTATATAGTGTGTGTTGGAGGTATTTGTTGAACCCCATTTTTTCACACGCACACTATTAATCCTAGCAAACATGGCCATGTAATGTTTTTAAATAAGAAAACCTTAAAACTAGGTTTTTGTGGAGAGGATGTTTGGTTAACATCGGCCATCTGATTTGGTGCACTATTAGATTTAGGGTTAGATGCAGTGTTGGAAAACTTGGGCTAGTCCACTCAGGCTTGGAACCTTGCCAAGCTAATAGCCATACACATGGGAATCGTGCCTGATCTGGCTGATTCCTATTATTTTGTTTATTTTTTCTGTTTGGACTTGGTCAAGTCTTTAACAGACTCGATTGAGTTTCTTAGATCTGTCTCTGGCTTTGGGTCCTACCGAGGCCCAATCCAAGTCCATGTTTTCTAACACTAGTTAGATGTGCTTAAAGTCACCACCACGCGCCCCCCCCCACGCTAAAGTTACTCATCTAGGGTTTTTAAGGCCACCCCTGAAATTTGGGTGAAATAAATATTGTTTGGATGATTTTTCAAGGGTGGGCTACTGGATTTCGTATATTCATCATACATTTATACACGTACACACGTATATGTATATGTTGGACAAACAAGATGCAATTCATTAAAAATGATAAAAAGACCATAATTGTGCATCGATAGAGGTAGCAAATACAGTTTTTCATCATCATCTAAGTCTTATCCCAACTATTTGGAGTTGGCTATACAAATGTAGTTCTGTCATTCTACTCTATCAAGGGTCATACCCTCAGTCAAACCATAAGTCACCCTATCTCCTTTTGACTAGTTCGATCCATGTTCGTTTTGGGTCTTCCCCTTTCCCTTTTGTCTTCCACTTGAACGAAATCACCCCTCCTAAAGGTAATGTTCTAGGTCAACGCTGCACTTGGCCAAGCTACCTAAGTCTACTTCTCCTCATCTTATCTACTATTGGAGCTACGCATAAGTTCCCTAGCTACATCCTCATCTTAGCTACATTCATCTCGGTAATAGATAGAGTAATTCACCTAACAAAAGATAGATGGAAAGTATTTTATTGTACATACTGTATGTATCCGGTTCCTGTTAAATTTGTTGAAGATTTCTGTCCAATGATTATGTCTAGTTTGTTTGATCAACCCTAAGCTTTCCTTGTATTCCATGTAGTTTTTAGTCATTTGATGATGTGGATTTAAAATATAATGGTAAGAATTTCTCTGGGTATGAGGATAAAAGAGAATGATTTTCGTTTTACTTTAGTGAATTCATTGCATATCTCTTCACTCTGAAACACTTCAAACATTGCAGATGAACATTCCACATGCAGTAAGGCATGCACCTACCTGTCTAGTTGCATTCTAAATGTCCTAGACTTATGCATTCTAAATGTCCTAGACTTACTTTTTCTAATATTTCTAATTGATTTGTTTCTGTGATTGATTAGTTTGTAGACATTTGTAGGTTAAGGCAAATATGTGCTGTGCAACCGTGTTACATTCTGACTAGAAAATATTGAATGGAGTTAATGATTTGGATATATTAATAGATCACTGGATGCAAGCTTGTTTGGTTTCGTGGAAATTGCTGTCGCCGAAGGAAAAGGTCATTAGATACTAGGATTATTGCAGAACTTTTCCTATTCGCATATCCAGTCCATTGGATTGTATTACCTTGCTTATTTACCTCGTTTTTGGTTTGGTGGACTATGGCACTGACAGACTACAAGAAGAATGGAAAAAGATGTAAATAATTATATTCATAACACATGTCGCCTTAGAACTTTCGGCGTTTATACTTGTCATCTCACTTGACTGGCTTCCACTAGGAAATGGTGTTTCTTCAATGGGCTTTTGTTCTTGTTCAATTCTTAGCTTTTGCTGCAATAATAAGCTTCTTACACCTTTTTTTGTTCCCTTTGTGCTGTCAATTAAACTAAGTAGGATTGTGCTTCTTACTCTATGAGATACCCTTTGCAGCTTGCAGAATCTGCTAAGTCACAGTTTGCTGGGAAATACTATAGTGATCACCTTGCCCTCGTCCGAGCTTATGAAGGTTGGAAAGATTCTGAAAGAGAAGGTTCTGGTTACGATTATTGCTGGAAGAATTTTCTTTCAGCTCAAACATTAAAGGCCATAGATTCCCTTCGGAAGCAATTTCTTGTTTTGCTTAGAGATACTGGTTTGCTAGATGACAGCACTTCTGATTTGCTAAGTCATGATGAGCATCTTGTCCGTGCAGTTATTTGTGGTGGTTTATATCCCGGAGTATCCTCTGTTGTGGTGAGTTCCACATGTTCTCCTATCCAAAGTTGATACCTTCCTGCTTGATTCTCTTATTGGAAGTTCAAACTTTCCTGCTCGAACTACTAGTTATTGCCGTCTTTCTTTTATGTTGTGGGGCATTCTGATAGTGTTTATCGTGAATCATTTGATGACTTTATTTATGAGTGTTTATAGGTCACAGTATTGTTTAATTTATTTCTCTCTAACTTTCTTATACAATTATGCATATTTATCATTTGTCTCGCCTGCTGATACTTTGAGTTTGAAAAAGTTGGCCCCAAGCAGCTTCAATATTATATCTATAGTTTAGGTGTATCAGATCCATGAAGGCTTAAGTTGCTTCTTCATTAGATCTGTTCGGCTTCTTGTGTACTGTGATGCTGTTTGGTTAGTTGATTGATGGGTATTTGTGTTTCTTGGAGATTGTTTGCTTTCCTGGAATGTGTATCTTAAAACTTACCAGACTCTAACATAGAACCATGTATATTAGCTAAGCTGTGGTTGAAGAGTGCTTGGTGCTCTATCTCGGCAAATATTCCATTATAGCAGGGTTTGCTCCGCGGCTAATTTGGGTGGGGTTGTTTGGCTTTCAGTTCATTGCAACATGGTAGTAAGACTTCCATTAGTCGTGATGGAGTCCAATTTTTTGCCACTTGGGCATATTGTGATATATATCTTTCTTGAGAGTTACTTAAAACACCAGAAAAAAAAACCTTCTTTAGAGTGGTACACTGAGAAATTCATGCCCTGCCATATTGAACTGTTTGATGTATTTTTCAACACCATGAGGTGTGCGTGATGCATTTTTCAACACCATGATAAATAGTGGATTGGCTATTTGTTTTTGTTATAGGCTGCAAGAGGTGTTTTGTTGCGAATCCTGATGACTATGGTCGCTCATTCATTTGCATGTGTATATCACATAGTAAGTGGCAGGTGTTATGCTTTGTACTCGGGTTTGCTCACCTGTCACCGACAATTTATCAAAATTCTATTTGTAATTTCCTTGTTCGTCCATGGGTCTGTACAAAGCTCAGATTTGTGAAGTCTAATTTCTGATAAGTTTCTTTGAATGGTTTTACAGAACAAAGGGAAGTCAATTTCTACGAAGACTATGGAGGATGGTCAGGTCCTGCTTTACGCTGTATGTAGTCTCTTCTAGCTTGAAATGAATCCTAATTCTCTGACATACTTCATTATCATACTACTGCATAACATATTATTTGGATGTATCTTCTATAGTCCATCTATGGATTTGATCTCTCTTTCTCGATTCTTTTTCTAGAATTCCGTGAATGCACGCGAGCAAAGAATTCCATACCCATGGCTAGTTTTCAACGAGAAAGTGAAAGTGCATGCAGTGTTCCTCCGTGATTCGACTGCGATATCAGATTCTATGCTACTGCTTTTCGGGGGCAATCTTTCTCAAGGGGGACTTGTAAGTCCTTGACTATATTTGCACAGTAGAAAAACATAGAATTATTGTTGCCGAAAAAATGAAAGAGGAATACAGACTCATTGCTTGAACGTCTTTTATGTTTTTGCCATTCAGTTGCTTTGGTTTATCTCATCGTTGTTTATTTTGCAGGATGGGCATTTGAAAATGTTAGGGGGCTACTTGGAGTTCTTCATGAAGCCGGCTCTAGCTGATACTTACACAAAGTTGAAAAGGGAGCTCGAAGAACTAATACAGAAAAAGGTAAACCTCATGAAAGTGCCGAAAGCACTCAGGACCTTCTCTTTTGTGTCAATTGCTTCACAACATGGTCCGCATAGGCATCGGTAATGGAAACAATTTTACTTAAAAGAATTTTGAATATTGAATTTTGCCTTAGTATTTTTGGGAGGACACCGACATTGGGACATTCTTTCAGTATACAGTATCATTCCAGAATTAATTCATTCAAGGGGAAATTCAAACTGAGCCCTGGTTCAGCATAGGCTGGGGTCCTGGGTACATTGGCTTACATATACACATCAATCTAGCAATTTCCTTAACGGCTAGGTTTTGATACTATTTTATCGAGACTTAATGATGTTTGAATTAATGGTAGGTAGCTTAAGAATTCCAAAACAGTTCATGTAATGAACAGTTTAAGGCGTCCAGTGTTTGTGACCATGCTTGTGAATCTTGAGTTTTGAAATTTCTTGCTGTGGTAATTCCTCGGGGGTAAGTCCTTTGGTTATCTCTTAGAAATTAAGGAGAACTTGCAAAATAAGAAAACACTATAAAAATGAACTGTTATATTTTTTGTCAGATTTGTCATTTCGGTGATTCATAACTGTTACTGTTCTTGTAAGATTATCAATTCAGGAAGGATATTGTTCTCATGGAATTACATTTTTATTTAAGAAAATCTTGTTTTTTTTCCTTTGTTTGAGATCTTGTGATATCCTTTGTAAGATTTCAAAAAAAAAGAAACAGGAAAGCTTGTGATGCTCATTACCATGTTTCACACCTCATGGCATTTATTGGCAGCTCAAGTTTCCTTTTGAGATAATTCTGGTCTTGTCATTTTGCTTGGTCTCATGATATCCTTGTAAGATTTTCATAAAAAGAAGGATTTGTGATTTTTATTGCTATCTTCCACCCCTGACGACATTTTATGGCAGCTCGAGAACCCCAAAATGGACATTCAACCACACAGAGACCTCATCGCTGCTGTCCGGGTCCTTGTCTCGGAGGACCCATGCGAGGGCCGTTTCGTGTATGGCTGCCAGGTCCTCACACTCGCGATGAAATCATCTGCCCTCCTATCGCCTGCAGCTGCTGGCGGTGATGGTGAGAATGTGAAGAACCAACTTCAGACGTTGCTCCATAGGTCAGGGCATGGAGCCCCTGTGTACAAAACCAAGCAGACCAAGAGCAACCAGTTCAGGTCCCTTGTGGAATTCAACGGGATGCAGTTTATAGGGAAGCCATGTAGCAGTAAGAAAAATGCGGAGAAGGATGCAGCCAGTGAAGCTCTTCAGTGGTTGACAGGTGGTGCAGCTTCTGCACCTGAAGATATCGACCGCATGTCTACTCTTCTTAAGAAGACCAAGAAGAAAATGCCTAGGAGGTGGTGATGGAAGATCTCGATTCGGCTTATCCACTGGTGATGGCCTCGTTGAGGACCCCCTATGGCTCAAGGTAGATTGGAGTCAAATTGACACCCACTTTAGCTTAATTGGAGCTTAGCAGCTTGTTATGGTATGTCGATATTGACAACCCCTTCAGCCCAATTAGGGCATAACCACTGGTTATGGCCTTGTGGGAGCGTGGCATTACAGTTTTGAATTTGATGCTGCCTTATATAGGGTTGGCGTTCCAAAGAGGGGGGATTCTTTTGGTTGTCATTTGGTGATAACTGTCCCTGAACCTGATGGGTTATGGGGGTTGGGGTTATTCTTATGTGGTCAGAAGAGGCGAGGACCTTTTCCAGACAGCAACTGTTTACGTTAGCAGGCACAGGAGGAAGCATTTAGTGTATGTATTTTACACCATTGTTACAGTGACTATAGATATGAACACACCCCTGCTTTGTATGCCAAATATCAAGATGAAATGAAAACCTATGTTTTTACTATATGATTGGGGCTCATCGAGATTGCCGGAGTCTTTCGACGGTATAAGCGTTCTTTGCTATTCAAGTTTTATTGCAAAAGAATAAAAGTGGCCACTCAAAAAATAAAAATCAATGAGGAGGTTGAAACATTAATGTGGATATTGGCCCCAATTTTGAACTTAAAAAGTTAATTACCAATTTGAGGTAACATTCCATACGTTATTCATGTTGCTTTTGGAAAAGAAATGTTCTGTATCTAGTAGATTAACCCTGATTCTTTATGGCCACATGTCCAAGAGGTCGGAGCTCCTAGTGCCAGCGATTTGTTTGGATGGGAAGGTTTAGGAAACTTNTTGTACAGCAACTAAATATGAACTATGTAACATTTTGTGACTATATTAAATAAATCTGAAAACTTAAAAGCTATTTCAATTCATTGCCCTGTCTTTAATAAGTTTTTTGAAATTAAATGAAGAAAATGGCTGAGATATTGAAGAGTTGAAGTTTTTTGATAAATTTCCGCTGCAATTTCCATCCCAACTCACAAAGCTAGTGGTTTGTAGGTGGGTGCCCACTTGAGCAGGGTTATGAAGTTGTCGTCAGGAGTGCCCCTTCAAATTCCTTTTCAAAAAATGTAAGAGGTGTGGTTGTTTCTCTGAAGTTTTGACTCTGGAAGTTGAACTTTTATAATACTTCCATGGGGCAATGGAAAATGTGAGTTCTAATTTTTCACCCATTTTTGGAATCCGCAGTTCCAACTTGGCCGAGAAATATAGAATTTGAGGCTTTAATGCTCCAATTAGTTGGGAAGATCGACAATGATGATGTCCTTTGCAAGTTGGGCTTTCGGACCTTAAACTTTCATGAAACAAAGACACTGTAATCGAAGGGCAAGCTTTTCTATGCTTCCCTTACAACATAGAAGATCTATCCTCCCCCACCTTTTAAACTATTGATTTGAAATGGGTGACTGAGATTAGAAGATGGTAAATGTCATAAAAATAGTCACGGGTTAAGCTGGTAACCCCATCAAAATAGCCCGTAGAAGAGAGAGATAAAGAGTAACCCATTTCCCGTATGAGAGAAAGAGAAAGGGAAGCAATTGATCAAGAAAAAAAGTGTAGAGAAGATGAGATAACCACCAAACTAGAGAAGAAGGTGAGATCTATAAGAGATAGATTTTAAGCTCTCTTCAAATCGTATATCCATTCAAGGCCTCTGAAAAAAAGAGATTTCGCTGACAAAAATCAGGTAGGTTTTGGGATTGTATTTTTTCTCATAGAAAGTTGTATTGAGTTTTTTCTTTTTGTTCATTTTCAATGCACGAAAAATATCTTTTTGAGAATGCCTTTACTTCCCTTAAAATGAGTTTTTGGATTGGGGTTCTGAAAAGATAAACTAAAAGAGATTGTGTGATTTGTAGTAAAAATTTGACTCTAAAAGATAAACTAAAGCCATGGAAATCGAAAGATGATTTTTTCCCTTAAAATATTTGCCTAGAATTGGCTTCATTGCGCATTGAGTGTTGATTTTCAGCTGCCTCGGTCAACTCTACATCTAATTTGAATTTTAGTGTATGGTACTTTTAATGAATCCTTGATGCATGCTGTATCATTTTGTAACCTCTTTACTATGCTCCTTATTCTTCTTCAAAACCTTGAGAATTGGAATTGGGGAAAGAAAGAGGCCCTGCATAGATACAAAGATAGAGAGATATCAACGAAGGTTTGATTCAAGATAAACAATATTTTTACTTATGGAGTGTAGGGAGAGAAAGTTAGTTCTTCCTCAAAGGATGATAGGCCTTGTTTATTTGGGATTAGAGGAAGAGTAATCCAATAAAAAAATCTTTTATGGCATGTCTCAAAAAAATCATTTTTGTTTTAGTGATTTTGGTTTTATTTTATATAGATTGTATATTAAGAAACTTAATTTCGAGCGCTACCTCTCTATTTTTACCTCTCTTATTGTGATTTGTAGTATTGAATTTTAAAATTTGTAGTTGTTTTGCTATCAATTTATAACTCAATTTTTAGTTAGTATTTTTTATTTATTGTTTTGCTAGGTATCGATATATTTTGAAATTCCTGCTTATACTTAAATTTTCTATCTATGTGATATAGAAATGAATTTGTGTTAATTACTTTGTTTACGTATTACTGAATAATAGTTATGGACATCACTGGAGAAGGTGAAGGGTGTTCAAGTGGTGACATTGTTACTAATATGAAGCTCATTGAGGCTACATACCCATTGAGGCACTCGTGCCTGATTTATCCTATGAGAAGGACCAGGATATGTTCTGTAAAGACAATTTTATGGATGTAAGTTATAATAATGTCATAGTAACTGGGGATGGTGAGGACAATGAGGTCCCACTGTTTTGTAATCAACAAGACAATAGTGGGCATCAAAATGACTTATTTGTAGGAATGAACTTTGAATATGAGGATGCTGTGTATCTATTTTACAATGCATATGCTCAGTGAAAAGGCTTTAGCAGTCGTCTTGAGAGGCCAAAGAATGACAATGACAATAATTTGAGGATGCAAGATTATGTTTGTTCAAAGGAAGGCAAAGGTGATTCAAAGCATGCAAGAAAAATTCATCCTCAACCAATAACAAGGGACAAAGCAATGTTAAGGGTACGGAGGATGAAAGAGGAAAAGTGGGTTGTAAAATTTGTTGAGGAACAGTCTCACAAGTTTACGTCGTCATCAAAGGTACATCATTTGAGATCATATTGATGTATCCTAACAGCTACTATGAACTTGATTAAAACGATGTCTTTAGCAAGGTTTGTGGTCAGGGTGCTGGGGTTTCGCATTCGCGTCCGCCCCCTCTTGGACAACCGCTTGGCCTCATGAGTGTCACGCTCGTGCGTTTCTTATGGTGTCAATCGTGTGCAGATAGGTGGGTCCAACTTTGTGAGAGAATTTTCAAGAGCAGTGAAGAGATAGATTGCTACCTCACCGCGGTTGGGGTCTGAGATTAATTGAAGTACCTACCTCACCGTGGTAGGGGTCATGGGAAAGCCCAAGCAAAAGGGCCCTCTTAGATCATTTCATGAAAGCCCTCCGGCTGTCTGCCAGCGCAGTTTGATCGTGGATCGCTTTCAAACATCATTAATTCATATCAACTCTTTATTATATGAATTCAGGTAAAAATGCTCATCTTTCAATAGGTTTGATGAGTGAATAGTCCTGGTATGATTTAGGAAGTAGAAGGGAGAAAAGTCCTCTCACTACTTGAACACTTTGTAATGAGAAAGTTGAGACAACGAGAGAAACATAATTCTAGAGAAAACTAACTCAAGATGACTATAACTCGAGTAAAAAGGTGTCAGAGAACCAATGTCTCTTACGACCTCAATTTACTGTACGAGAAGGTAGTTAAAGAAGTAACCCCAAACTTATGCTTCTAAAACACTATCCTTTGACCCCCTGAATCGAGCGTTTCAAGCGATGAGAAAGACGATTAACAGAGGAAGAGGGAAATGTGCAAGACAAAGCGTGGGTTAACGGATGTGCGTGAAGGTGCGAGAGGACAAGTGTGCGTCAAGGCACGGGAGGACGGGTGTGCGTCAAAGCACGAGAGGACAGGTGCACGTCAAGGTGTGGGAGGACGGTTGCGTGTCAAAGCGCAGGAGGATGAGTGCGCATCAAGGCATGGAAAGACGAGAGCGTGTCAAGGCGCGGGAGGATGGGTGAGCGTCAAGGCTCAGGAAGAGGGAAGCACGTCAAGGTGCAGGAGGACGGGTGCGCGTCAAGGTGTGAGAAGATAGGTGTACGTCAAGGCACGGGAGGACGAGTGCGCATCAAGGCGCGGGAAGGCGGGTGCACATCAGGCATGGGAGGACGGGTGCACGTCAAGGCGCGGTAAGACGGGTGAGCGTCAAAGCGTGGGAGGACGAGTGCGCGTCAAGGCACGAGACAACGGGTGCACGTGAAGGCACGGGAAGAGAGGTGCGCGTCAAAGCTCGGTAAGACGGGAGTGCGTCAAGGCACGGGAGGGCGGGTATGCATCCAGGCGTGGGAAGACAGGTGCGTGTCAAAGCGCAGGAGGATGGGCGCGCGTCAAAGTGCAGGAGGAAGCAGAGAAGGAATATCACTTGCCCTAGGCACTGGTCGAGGGTCCCAGGCGGTAAGGGACACAAGAGGAAGGAAGGTGAGAGGAGGAGGAGAGGAGAGAGAGTGGACTTTTGGTACGTGTGTGCATAGGTGTACTTTCATGAGTCTCCTTTGAAGCACGTGAGAAAGAAGGTTTGAGTTTAGGTTGACTGTGGGTGGAGTAGGGAATGGGTTATGGTGTATGGTGATCTAGGGGTATTTTTCTCTCTAGGAAAATGTTTTATCTCTCCTCTCTCATTGGTCTTCAATCACAAGCAAAGAAAGCACAAGTAAACAAAGCACTCCAAATGCTTCAAATATTAGACCAATCTTCTAATTTCCAACTTTCATTCATCCAACCAACCTCTTTTTCAAGTGACATGGGTTTCCTTATATAGAGCAACCACTAAGTAGGGGTGAAATGCTCAAAAGTACTCCAAATTGTCAAAAATACATAATTAATGAATTAAAATAATCATCCCGAAAATGGACCAAATGACCAAACTGCCCTTAACCACTTTTCAGTAAATAACAAAACCATCCCTCCATGAGGGACCTCTTGCCATGGCTAGTCTTCGGGAGCTTTTTCGAACCCCTACGATGGTAATTTGGGTGTTCAAATGTCGTAGAATCGATGCTTGCATTCCTGTGAAAGTTTTGATACCCTTTAATTGCCTTGAAACATATTTTTGTGGAAGAACCCAAAATCCGGCCAAGTTCATGAACTTTACAAATCTTTAACCATCAATATAGTTCCATTTGTGATATTTCAAGTCTTCATTTTTGTCACAAATTGTAGAGGACATTGTCACAATCATTTTGTAGTAATTTTCATTCGTTTTTGGTCTAAAATTAAGCTCTTTCCAATTTTGGGAGGTTGCAGAAAATGGGTGTCCGGCCACCGAAAAATCG